ATCTCTGCTATTTTCCTGGTCCAAGCTCTCATCCCATTTCATACCTGGTCTATTGCAATACCCTTTAAGTTGGCCTCCCTGATGCAAGTCTCTCTTTACTTCAATCCCATCCTCCACTCAGTTGCCCAAGGGGATTTTTTTTCTAAATTGTAGATTATGTCACTCTACCTACCACTGCTCGATAAACTCCAGTAGCTCCCTATTATCATCAGAATCAAATACAAAACCCTACAACCTGGCCCCTTCCTAAGATCTTTCCAGTCTTCTTAAACTTGGCTTACTTCCATGTACTCTATGGCATAGGGAAGTTGAGCTTTTTATTCTTCCTTATACATGCCAATCCATCTCCTTTTTTCATGTCCTTCATGTCTATAGTGCTTTTGCTTTTCTTCCTCATCTCTGCCTCCTGACTTCTCTGGATTCTTTTTTTTTTAAGTGAGGCAATCGGGGTTAAGTGACTTGCCCAGGGCCACACAGCTAGTAAGTATCAAGTGTTTGGTCTGAGGCCAGATTTGAACTCAGGTCCTCCTGATTTCAGAGCTGGTGCTCTATCCACTGCACCACCTAGCTGACCCTTCTCTGGATTCTTTTAAGACTCATCTCATATTCCACTTTCTGCAGAAGACCTTTCCCACCCTCCACTGCTCTAGTCTTTCTTCTGAGATTATCTCCATTTACACTGCTTGTAAAAGCAGTAATTTGCATGTTGTTTCTAGTGTTTGGTTTTGTTGTTGTTGTTTTGTTTTTTACATTTCTTTGTGTCCTTCCGGGATAAGCACCCCTTAGGCACAAAGCCCATAATAAATACTGATTGACTAACAATAGGATTATCTGAAGCATTGGATTTAAAAGCCCTCTGAATTCCTTCCTCCTTCCGCCCCCCCACCCCCCAAACATGGAGATTCCCCCCTCTGGGTGAGTTATAATTTTCTCCCATTCTAGGTCCCAGCAGAATGAAGATCAACTGCATCTTGTCAAATGGAAGGCCTTGGTCATTTATGCAAAAATTCCTGTGTTGACATGAGACTGTAATTCAGATCAGAAATATTAACTCAAATCTGTCTTTATTCAATCCCCTAAACCTTGCAGATGGTAAAATTGGAGAATAAGGGATGTTTGTCTTCAGTGCTCCTAGTCTCATTTTTCTGTACTCAAACTCTTCCCCCCACCACTTCCCCCTCCCCATAGCCACTTGGCTCATAGAGATAGTCCTAAAAGGGATGGGGACCATTTAGCCCATCCTCATCATTTTACATTTGAAGAAAATGAACATTCATTAGAAGATCTACTTCTGGGGGACTTTAGCCTTCCTGATATATATATATATATATATATATATATATATATATGTATGTATGTATATATAAATTTTTTTTAACAAGATCTTGTAGTCTTCCTTATTGCCTACTTCTAACTCAAGAACATATTTGGTTTAGTTTGGTAGCTTGGTAGCTTGGTTTAGCTGCTCAATTTCAAAGCACCCCCCTTCCCATCTATGGGTTTCCTGTGGTTCGCTCCCATCCTCCTTCCTGTTATCATATGCTCATAAAAAATATGTAATATCTATCTTATGCCTTAAATATCAATTTAGATTTTATATGGTTCCAAGTTGTTTTGTTTTGTATTATAAGCCTGATTTCTAATCATAATGGGTAAGATTTTGTTCCAGTTAACGGACAGTCAGGTATAGGAAGGAGGGTGAACTTTCTTATTCCAATAAAATCATGCCACTACTCAAGATGGGTGGAAACCTCTTCTGGGTGGGTATGAATTATATCAGTGAAGCCAATATTTTTTTTAACCCTATTTGACATAATCCATAGCCCTTTCCCAGAAGTTTAGTATGAATAAAGTTCCTGCCCTACTCTCCAATAAAGAAAACCCTGAAGACAGGGCAATAAAAAGGTCACAAATCTAATTCCTGACTATTCCTCCAAGGTGTCTAAGGTGTGGCAATATGGCATAGTAGAAAGTTAGAGCAGGAGCTTGGAAGACCTGGGTTCGAGTTCTGGCTCAGACACATACCAGTTGTGTGACCCTGGGCAAGTTACTCTTACTTTTCTAGGTGATTCTTTAAGACTCTAAATTGCAAGGTCACTAACTGCGTTAACAGAAGGAGTTCTGAAATTCCCTATATCAATGAAACCACAGTCCACTCCATAATCCTATTCATTTTTTTCCAGAAAAATGAGAAATGTGATGGAATTCTGAGAGAAAGAAGGAAGGGAGGGAGAAAAGAAAGAAACAAATAAAGAGGCTAAAAATGTAAATAGGTTTGAAAAAACTTTAAATAAATTCATATGTGGTAAATCTATAAGCTACTAAGTAAAATCATGGCTCTTGCTACCCTTTTGAGTTTGACAGCAGAAAGTCAACCCCCTCTCCCACAATGGGCCCCTTGGTGTCACTGGCAAAGACAAACTACTGAGTGGTATAACAATACTTCTGCTCTTTTGTATTCTTCCCTGAGAGAAGGAAAAGAAAAAGAGCAAGTCCTTTATTATCTAGCCAAGAGGGAAACCATGCTGTTGAAACTGCAGATTCACAATTGAGAGCTGGGCTCTTGATGTCTGTTGGAAAGTACATTATGTAAAACTGATACTGAGGGGAATTAGAGGAGTGCCCATTACGCAGTCGACCAATCCCCAGCCCGCACTACCAACAAGGAAAGCATGAAATGGTGATTGCATTGTAGACTGAGACAATATTGGATGATTAAACAAAGAAGCTTTTATCATTTTTTAATTTTGATTTGAATGGGTGCCATTTTTTTTCCCCTCTGTGAACTCTTCAAGTCAACTGCAGCAATCAGGATCTCTAAAGGGCCCCCCTTATTTCTTGTGCTTCCTTCAATCAGCAACTAATGGTAAAAACTGTTCTGTTAAGAGGTACCTTTATCCCTTTTTCATCAGATTTCTTAGAGTTGTCAGGGCAGACACAGCTTTTCTAGATGGCCAAATGCCTCTAGAGCAAATGTTTAAAAATGATAAAGGTCTCAGTTTCAGTGTATCCCATACCTTGATGAGATAATTTCCAGTTTCTTGAAACTAACTGAAAAACGATACTAGTATTTAAGAGTAAAAGGTTACCACATGACCAAGTAGCACAATGGAGATAGTACTGAGCCATAGTTCAGAAAGACTTGCATTCAAATCCAGCCTCAGATATTTAGTAGCTTGTGTGAACCTTGGTAAGTCACCTGACCCTTACCTGCCTCAGTTTCCTCAGATATAAAATGAGAAAGATAATAGTACCCACCTTTCAGGGCTATTGAACATGAGATGATATTTTATATAAATGCTAACTATTATTACATAATGAAACTGATTTCCTTTGAGTTAATCCCTGCTTGCTGTTTAGGGACAATTAATACATATACACATTTGGAGATTGGTTTTCTGTATAGTTTTGGGAGAGTATAAAAAATTTATAAATAAATGAGACAGGTCATGCTCTCATCAATTTGTCCCACCAAGTTTCTATGTGATATTGGACAGCTCATTTTGGATACCTTCTCTCTGCATTAGGTTATTAGGTTATAACTTGATAATATTTTACTACTTCCCTGTTATGGTACTGTAAAGTTCATCTTTGTAAAAATAATTTGAGAACTCTGGACTCAATGTGGCACTCAACATAGAAAAAGATTATTATTATTTAGTATTTATAAAAATCAAGTAAAGTTGTGGGGCAGCTAGGTGGTGTAGTGGTTATAGAGCATTGGCCCTGAAGTCAGGAAGACCTGAGTTCAAATCCGGCCTCAGACCAAACACTTGACACTTACTAGCTGTGTGACCCTGGGCAAGTCACTTAACCCCAATTGCCTAAAAAAAAAGTCAAGTAAAGTTTTATAGAGATTTTTCAATGAAGCATTACTTTTCAGAACCAGCATTAGAAATGATTACTGAACTTTTTTTTTTTTAAATGAAGAGCTATACTGATGTGACTAGAACATTGCCCTGAGTTGGATGCTTTCTATAAGGCTAAATAAGAACTATTAGTGGGGCAAAAAAGAAAAAATAGATAAATCCTATTTTGTTGTCCACTGATGACTGACATCTATGTCCTATATCAGATTATCAGCTCCTTGGGGACAGAGACTGCTTCATAAGAGGATGGGACAGGAGTTCAGGACATCTGCACTTTAGTTTTGGTCTGCCGCTAACTAGTCATTTGACCTTGGGCAACTATCTTCATTTTTCCAGGCCTCAGTTTCCTCATCTGTAAAATATGGTTGTTGGATTAGATGATCTTCTGTCTTCTCAATGCCTAGCTCAGTATACTACACAAAGATAACACTCAGTCAATGTCCTTGTTTCGATGATGATATTCAAACATTCAGCTGGAATGATAATGATATGGAAACTTCTGTTTGCTTTTGAGGCTTGAAACATAAGGTTTTGGTCACACTGTATATTACAAATTCACTTCATAGAGATTAGTCCTATGGTCTATGTTATTAGTATTGAGTAAATGTTACAAAGTAATTACAACTTTTATAATTTTTGATTCTATGGATTTATCTACCCCAGAAATAGGAGACTGTATAAAGAATGTCCAAGTGGTAAATACACCAGAGTGCACAGTTAAAAGCTACACATTCATATGGTACAGCACGCACCACTGATTTACCTGAATTATCTAGCATGGATTAGAGTCTCATGCTATACCACTTTATGGTAACTCTTAGTAGTTAATTGCCTTCAGAATAATTATCTCTCATCACCCATTAGGAATTCTCCCACAAAATTGTGTCAGCTAAGAATGTGGTTCAACTTGCTTAGTTAATAGAGTTCCAAAACATGACTCTGCTGACCTTTCCACAGATGGTTTTTCTTCTGCCTTCACAGATACCTATCTAATCTTTTCCTTAGCTTGGGAAAGCAAACCCAACCTAATTGTCCTCCTCAAAACTCTGAAAATTCCTTTTTCAAAGTGACAAGTAAAATGCAGAAGGCTAACTTGTTGGAGAGGAAGGCAAAGTCTTATAGAGAATAATATTACTTTCTTGGGAGCAAAGGACTATGGGATTTGTGGTATTCTTTTCCATTTCTAGGTTCTGCTGTCCATCTAGGCCCCACTACTCTTGTCTCTTCCTCTTCTTCTCCCGATTCATACTCCTCATCCACTGCATGAAACTGTGGCTTTGGTATTAAGGGTGGCCTTACTCTGCTCACTTGGTCTCCTCGGGCAGCACTTCTTTGACCACCCAAGTTTAAAGATCTCCCCCCTCTACGCAACCTCTCCATTGGAATCATCTCTGGCTGCTGTCTTCTTTCTTGAAGTGACCCTGTTCGAGCATGTGGTTTAAATGTAACTGGAGGGAAGATTGCATCACTGCTATCATCATCTAAAGGACAAAAACAAACAAACAAACACAATCTGAAAGGAGTAAGGAACAAAGAGCAAGGTATTCATCTCAGATGATCCATTGTGCTGATGGAATACTGAAGGGAAGAGTACTCCATTCCTGGGTCTGACACTTACCTTAGGCAAGTCACTTGTAATTTTCATCTCCCACAACTTTCTCTTCAGTATAATTATCTTCATTCCCAGTTCTCAAAGGGTAAAATCTAACACATTTGCAATATTTTAAATAAATACCCCAAAATTTCCAGTCCATTTTCTACCAGCCTACTTTCCCCTATGTTGGGACATTTCTCCTACAGAAATTCTTATTTCACTGGATTAGTAGATGAGTGACTGTTTCATTACCAGATTAATGCTTATAAAGTACTTTGTTTCTAAAAAATAATATGAAAAGTGATGTCATAGTGTTAGGAAATAATTTACAGCTCACAGAAAAGCATAATTAAAACCCAGAAAATTAAATGTGACTGTGAACAGAAAAGTGTTAGTATTCTGATAATATTTCTTTTTTAAAGTTTTCAGTTATTTTTCAGTCAGGTACAACCCTTTGAGACCTCCTTTGGGATTTTCTTGGCAAAGGTACTGCCATTTCCCTCTCCAGTTCATTTTATAGATAAGGAAACTGAGGCAAACAGGATTAAGTGACTTGCCCAGGAAGTGTCTTAAGCCAGATTTGAACTCAGGAAGATGAGTCTTCCTGACTCCTGGCCCAAAGCTCTATCCACTATGCTACATAGCTATAAATAGTTTTAAGTTCAATTCTATGAATTTCACCATCCTTAGCTTATAAAGACAGTGACTAGAACAATGGACCTTGATGCAGGAATACCTGAGTTTAAATCTAGCCTCAGAGATTTACTGTGTGACCCCAGGAAAGTCACTTAACCTCTTTTCCCCTGACAGTTGATGATAGCAGCTACTTGCCAGGGTTTTATAAGGATAAAATGACATAATATATGTAAAGTGCCTCTCAAACCTTGTTGTTCTTGTGCTAATGTAATAGTCAGCCTGTTTGTAAACAAAAAAGGGGGATAATAGCCAAGAAGTTATTGAGGGGTTTAATATAAATCTTTCTATTGAAAAATATCATTCACATGTTTTCAGCATCCAGTTTTTAAGGTGATAAGTGGAAATAGAGTTCTTCATCATGAAACGAAGTGGGTGACATCAACTAGGTCTCTACTCATATTCTACTCATATTGTACTTTTCAAATACCTAGATATATATTTTATATAGCCTGTTTCTCTATTTGCCAATTCAGGTATGTTTTGAAGGAAGTGTCATTTAAATATCCTTTTAATAGCCATCAATCTTTTATTGGTGTTGTATATTTCCAATACATGGAACATAATACTTTCCAATGAAATGAGAATGAGTACTATACAGAAAGCATGTGGAGAGGTGCATGGCAGGTGAAAGTAAGCTGCCACTTGTGAGACAAGGGAGGAATTTAAAAGAAGAGCAGGTCTAAAAGATGTCATTAGGAATGTGTGATAGAAAAAGATGAATGATTGTTATGTGCCAAAGGTGAGGGATAACAAGGAAGAGAGCTTGAGTGTTGCTTCAAATGGCAGAGGAAAAGAATGGAAGGTTTCCATTATGATGAGTAGACTCATCATAATGTGTTGAACTTATAGGAGGACATGGACCAGAGGTCAGCATAGATAAGATATGGTCTGTATCATCAGAAGGAGTATCCAAGTCAGTGATATCATGGGTCCACTTGAGCATCATTATAAATGGTATATTCACATATACCCTGAAGGTGCTACCTGAGGAAATAATTTCTAATCCAAAAATTCTGCTGAGGAGTTTGGATTATTTGAGCTGTCTATATCTGAATGATATTTTACCAGATAGAAACAAGTACACACTTCCCAAAGATTTAATACTAAACTATGTTGAAATGCTTTAAAACTCAGTTTCCTTTATTCTTTGAAATCTTAATATTTAAAAAAATAAACAAATAGAAAAGAAACCAAGTCACAAAAAACATATCTATGAAGACTCCAAACCAATTTTACCTTCAACTGTCTCCAAGAATTTGAAAAAATACTTTTCTATCAACTTTAGGTTGGGGAGGGGATGTTGTTTTTTGTTAAAAGAGTGACTTTTGAAATTTGTAGACTTCAAGAGATTAAAAAAATTCAAAAGAGAAAAACAATTGCTAAAATATTGTAGTCAGACACCGATGAATTACTTTCATAAAAGTAAAACAACTTCTAAAAATTTCAGTAGTTTGAAATGAGCGAAATTCCAGAGACCCATGAGATGGATCTTTTTCATTCTTTGGAGGAAGAAAAGCAAACAGATAAATTACCTGTAAAAACACCAGTCCCTGTTTCTCTGTTTGCTGAATGAGGGTTGCTATAAGGGAAGGAGAGGTAGCGGATATTTTTGATGCCACTCTACATGAAACAAGAAAAAATTAAACAATACGTTAGTTGGTACTGATGGAGTTTGAGAACATAAATTAAATTAGACAACACACATACGGAAACACATCATAATGGCTCCAATTTAATCCACTGGCTTTTAACCATTTTAAGTAGTTCAACTTATATATTTATTGAGCTCCTATTCCATGCAAGGCACCATGGCAGGTGCTGAAGAGATTCAAATATTGAAAGAAACAAGCATTTATTATGTGTTAGGCACTGTGCTAAGCACTTAACAAATATTATCTCATTCGATCTTCACAAAAATCCTGAGAGATAGATACTGTTATTATCCTCATTTTACTATTGAGTAAACTGAGGCAAAGAGGTTAAGTGACTTGGCTAGGGCCATACAACTAGTTTCTTTCTGAGGCCAGATTTGAACTCAGGTCTTCCTGATTCCAGGCTCAGAGCCCTCGATTTAAAATAAAGAACCTGGGTTCAAACCCTAACCCCTCCTATTTGCTACCTCTGTGGCACTGGACAAAGGACTAACCTCTCAGGACCCTAATTTCCTATCTTTAAAATGAGGAGGTTGGCTTAGATAGCATCTCTGGATCCTTCCAGATATAAATCTGTGATATCATGGGTGATCCAAAGAGGGAGAGATCACATCTTGTTGGGGGATCAAAGAAGGTTTCATAAAACAGTAAAATTTTATATAGGCTTTGAAAGATGGATGGGATTTTGATATTATTCCAAATGAAGGGAGCAAAATGGCAAAAAGCATGGAAGCAGAAAAAAAGGGGACATACTTGAAGAACATTAAATAGTTGAGTCTGGATGGAGTTTCATATATATATATATATATATATATATATGTATGTATATGTATATGTAATACATAATGTATATGTACACATACACACACATACACACACACACATATGGCAATAGTGTGAGATAGAGCAGAAAAAAGTATTTGGAGACATATCAGAACCTTAAGCGCCAGAATCAGGAGTCTGTCTTGTCCCCACGAGCAGTGGGGAGCCATTGAGTACTTGGAATCTTGGAAATGATTGATTGAAGTTGTGCTTTGGTTAAGAAAGGTAAAATGCTTGAGTCTTTCATGGTACCCATCACTGGCTTACCTGGTCACTCTAGCTTATAATGAATGTTCAAAGACCCTTTACTTAAATGCCAAGAGCCTTGGAAGCAAACTCAAAGCTCCCTGGAGCCCCTCTAGATATGGTAGTAGAATAGGGTCTGCACCAGATCATAATTCCACTCTATGATACAAAAATAGGATCCACACCAGATCAGACCTTGACTTTCTCTGGGAGAGACACTAAGGAAGTTGGCTTGGGTATAATTTTGTATGAAGAATTCAGATTCGTTATGAGAGAAGTGATAAGAAAAATGCAGTAGCCCATGAATAAAACTAATTCTAATCCATTTTAACTTGGGGTGAATCTAAGCCTTTAAGACTCATGCCCTCATGTTGTATCTACCATACAGAGGGAGTCAAAGGCAGCCTCCTAATTCCAAGGCACAATAGTTATAGCAAACCAGTTTTTGCCTAATTAGTTAATACATGTAGCTAATAGGGCCCAATCTTCTGCCTTATAGATGACTCTCATCCAGTTTCATGCTAAAGGCTTTAATCATTGGTAAATTTTAATGGGTATTAAATGTAGTAAATGAAAAAAAAAATGGAATAATTCGCATGTCCTCAAGAAACTTGCCTGCCTATGCTAAGGGGTCACTGGAACCAACCTAGCCCAGCAGATTGGTAGGATTTCAATAGGGTCTTTAGGAAAACTGAATCAATCCTGGAATACAATAGGCCTCCCAGAAGAATCTTGACTTGGAATGTGTTGGTTATTGGTACCTCATTCCTAACATATAGTGGAAATATCACATCACACTCAGAAATTCTTTGGCAAATGGATCAACATGCTTCTAAGGCCTGGAAGAAGGGAGAGGAGGCTGCCATGATATCCAGCACCTTATTTTTTTTGAGAAGCTCCAGACCAAAAAAATTCAAAATTAATGATTTATGTAAATGTAAAAATTAATTTCAGGTGGCTTAAGTTTTAGAATTTACAGAAACAGCCAAATATGATAGGTGCCCGATAAATATTGACAAATAAATGAATGAATATATGAACAAATATTTCTACTCCAAGTAAGTAAATGACAACTTGTACCAGCTTTCCCCACGGCAGGCTGTTGCCTTTCCTTAGACTTTCCCTGAAGGTATGTTGGCGACGAATTAGAATTTCCTTTGCTTGTTTCTCACTTGTTTCTGTTCTCAGGTTATACTTATTGTAGGACAGGGTCTGAAATGAGAATGGGATTATAGACACATGCTGCTCATTTTGCAAGCATTTTCAGTACAGCTTTCAACCATAGGCAAAATCATGAATTTGACTAAGTTCATTTTTCTTGGATCTCCTTTTCCTTTTTTCAATAGACTTACCCAGATGTCTGGTGCATATGTTGCCTCCTAGATACCTAAGATCTCATCTAAATATGCTTTTCTTAAGTAGAAACCCATATACTTGAGATCTTTTCTTCCCCCTTCAAACTTAACCTACCCTATGTCCCAGTTCCTCAGAAATTTTCAGGCAACCATATAACTAATCTGATAAATAGTTGGTATTGATATAATCTTAGGTGACAGCAGCTTAATGTGCTATCATTCTCATAATAACTTCACTGCATTGCATTTTAACAGATGCTATCAAAGCCTCAAACTAAAAGAAAACTTGTTGTTTAGTCATCTTCAGTTGTGCCTGACTGTTTGTGACCCCATTTGGAGGTTTCCTTGGCAGAGAAACTGGAGTGGTTTGCCATTTCCAGCTCTTTTTGAAGATGACAAAACTGAGGCAAACAGTGTAAGTGACCTGCCCAAGGTCATACAGCTAGTAAGTGTCTGACGCCTGATTTGAACTCAGGAATATGAGTCTTCCTGACTCTAGACTCAATTCTCTGTCCACTGTGCCATCTAGCTGCCCTAAAATAAAACTACTGTTTGGAATTTCTGGTCCCAGGGTCTGCTGGGGGAGATAATTGGGTGAGAGTGGGGAGAAGGGCAGGAATGCTTTTCAATGTACCTCTGATCCATCTCATATAACATTGGCTCTTTCTCACTTCCTGTACTGATATGCAGGAAATATATTTCTTCCTGCTTTCTGGCCTCATAAATTTACAATGCACACTCAAAATTTTGGAATTGACATCATATGATGTTACAGAGACATCAGGCATTTTGACTAACCAAAATATCTATATTTCAGTCACTTACTATGAATATTTTTTTGTCATTGTTTTTGAAGTATAGAATAGTGCATCTATGACACCAAGGTCATTTTGGCCCATAATCCAAGATAAACATTTGGGACATGTATCATCTTCTATAGTCTAAGGGTCCAGCACATGGGGCCACAGGTACAAGAATTTTTTTTTTACTCTTTCTCTTTCTCTTATTCCAGCCCTTTGAAGATGAAAAATTCATCTGAAGACATTACTATGAAAATGCTGGGAGTGGCCTGACTTTAAAAATCTCATCATTGATTGAATAAGTCAACCACTGATTCACATCTAAAGGCTCAACTAATGTCTGAGGCCAGTGGCTCCACCTGGAGGACAAGATACTTCATGTAAATATAGTACTATTCAGATCTGCCATATTGCTTACAGCAGTGGGGCATCATTCCAGTCTGATCTCTCCTGAGTCCCAGAAACACTTCCCCTATTCCACACAAAAATGAAAGCAAAAGAGAGATAATAATGTCTTCTCACCCTCTAGAGGTTACTTGTGTTCTAGTTCTTCCCTTTCAATTCCTCATCACATTGAAAACACAGAATAGGATAGGCTAAGGGAGAATCTACCCCAAATCCCTAGACAGAGCAAGTCTGAATGTAGCTTCTCCCTGATTCAGCAAACATTGGGAAAAGAGTTCAACTGCAGGAATGATCCATAGAACTGACTCACAGTAGAATAGCCCTCAGTGATTTAATGAGAACCCCGAGCTCACCTCAGACCTGCATGGTGAGACTCCAAATTCTTAAACTAAATCAGCCACTCCTAAATTAAGAACTGCTTGGATCCTGGGAATTCCTTTTTTCCTTGAAGATAATATGGGGTTAAGCTAGGCCTCCAGGTCCTGGAGCTATATAAGAATACACCATTCTCTGGCCATCCTAGCTGCGGACTTTTACCTATTGATTTGACTCAAAATTGAAACACCTTCCACATATGGAAAAAAATCAAGAGATATTACTAAGACTACAATGACAACTGCTACTAGCATTTATATAGTGCTTCAAGGTTTAAAAAGTGCTTTAAAAATATTTTCTCATTTTATTCTCCACAAAATTAGCAAACTGTCATCTGACCAGAGAATACTTATCTACTCAATTGAGATTAACTATGAAATTATTTTTCTATTTTGCTTGGCTCAGTCTACCTACTATCAACTATTCTATATAAATAATACAAACGGGGGTCCAACATAGTGCCTGGCACATTAGACTGGGCCTCCGATTTCCAGCACTTATCACAGTACCTAGCAGATAGTCGATATTTAATTCGTTGATTAACCATTGATTTTGTTGGTGTAAGGAACTGTCAATGAGGAATTTTTTTTCTATTAATGTAGGTTAGCATTTTCCCTTCAACTTAACGGCCTTAAAGGGTTGCTTGGAGAGAATTAATATGACTTACTTACAGGAGAATATAGCTGAGGGAGGATTTGAGCTCATGTCTTCCTGACCCTGAGGCCAGCTCTCTAGTTACTGTACGATGCTGACTCTCACATGGTAGGTGCCAATACATATTTACTGACTGATTTATTAATTATAGACATAGAGTAAACACTGGAGCTGTGATTTCATTGGTATAAGGAATTCACTGGGGAAGAAACTCCCTTTGCCAATGCAGGTAGGCCCCTTCTCTGCAACTTATAGCCTTAAAGGCACTAAAAACTTAAGTGACTTGTCCAGAGTCACAGCCAGGATGTGTTAGAGGGGTGCTTGGAACTAAGGCCTTCCTGGTTCTAAGGTTATCTCTCTACCCTTATGGCCATAGCATAGTAAAAAAACAAAACAAAACCCATTTATTCTTTCAGTAGGTACAGACTCCTTCATAGACACGTACCCCTTAATCGGCTATTTTTGTGAAAGAGAAGGCAGCAAACATTAATACTCTTCATTTAAGCATTTATCCTGATATAATTAGAAAAAGAATAGGACTAGAAAACTGAAGAACAGAATTCTAGACCCAGCTCTGCCACTAAAGAGATGTGAGATCTTGGTCAAGTCATTTAAACTTTTGTGGCCTCAGTTTCTTCATCTGTGAAGTGAGAGGGGTAGACCAGAGCATCTCTCAGATTCTGTCCAGAACTAGGAATTTAGGCACAAATTGCCAAGTGGCAAACACTGAATCAGCCTGAAGTCAATCCCAAGGAAGACGAAGAGAATCAATGGTGAGAAAAGCCAGGAATTTTCTAAACTATACTTAGGCTAACCAAAAGAATAGTTTCTCAGTCTTAAGCATCTTTCTTTTTCTGGGTCTATGGATATAAGCATGAGGAAGGCCTGATAGTTCCATACAGGGGGAATAGGGCTCTCAGGCTGGGGTAGCCTGACCCCTAGAGTAAGATACTGGATCTGCCTTTTCTTTTATGTTGCAGAGCTCATCTTCCTGGCAAAACAAACAAACCAAAAAACAAAACAAAACAAAACAAAAAAACAACCCAAAAAACAACCCACCACAAATTTCTAGATATAGGCACTTCCCTTTCCTCTATAGAACTCACTTTCTTACATAAGAGGAATGAAAGGGTTTAGCTGAGGTAAGATGAAGAGAAAGTAAGCCAATCAAATGCAATGATTGACAAGTCTGAAGCCTTGTCATAAGAGCCCAAAAGGACTGGTACACACCCTTTGTCGAACTTGGTACATGTTGTGTGTCAGAATGTCCCGCATGGATTCCACATCCTCAGGGGAAAGCCTTTTGGTTCCTTGAATTCTCTGTGCCCTGTATGTATCAGGGGAGGAAAGGCAGGCATTATTCTGCTAAGCAAAAACAACAGCTGGAAAAATGGTTCACTGCTTTACCAAGATTCGTATCTCCAAAAAAGTCGTGTAGGAAAAACCACTGAAATAACCTAGATTTATACAGTATTAGAACAATACTGGCATTCTACCAAGCTTAAAGCTGACCACTTAAGAAGGAGCCAGATTTAATTCAACTCAATTTATCTTGATGGCTTGAGGGAGTGTTACAGTAACTCCTGAGTTTTCTGCTGTCATGCCCAGTATGATGTGTCTGATGCTACACATACAAAAGATAATCTGGAACAAAACTTAAGTGAAATGAAAACTAGTAATGAAAAAGCTAATATGTCTAGTGCAACCTAACTGAATGACAATTTATTTTAGTAAAAATAACAACAAAACAGTTAACTGGGAGTTTTAGCAAAGCTGTTACTCTAACATGTATTTCTTATCCAAAAGGGAATTAGATCTATCTTACGTAGGACGTGAATATTATCTGAAATTCAATGCATCTGGAACAATCTGACTCAAGATCCCATCAGTAGGAAAGGTTTTTATGTTGCTTTCTTTGCTTCTTTTCATTTATACCCCAAACACAATAGAAAGTTATTCTATGTTTTTAAAAACATCTACATACAAATTTACTTCCAAATTAATTTTGGTTTGACCTGCAGTTCTATTGGTGTAGGGAACTGTTAGCGTGACAAGTCCTTCACCAATGCACATCAGCACTTATTCAACAGCCTATAGTCTTGGAGACTTCCTAGGATCTTAAGAGATGAAGTGACTTGCCCATGGCCAATGGATGACAGAGTCAGGACTGGAACCCAAATCTTCCTGATTCAAAGGTCACCCCTTTTCCCCCTGTAGCGCTTTATCTACTCACCACTAATTTTACTATTTGGAGTATTCATTTCTCATATGGGTATTTTACAAAATAGTATGTGCGGCATTTTCAGGGAGCAGAATTTTGATCCCTGATTCACAGGGGAGTTTTCTTGCTCCACTTTCAGACAAAGAACTCAGTGAAAGTCCTACAGAAAGAATGGCTGCTGCACACCACACACCACACACACACACACACACACACACACACACACACACACACACACAATAGAGAGAATGGTAGTGCCTAAAAGACATACAGTATGGGTGGATGGGGGTGGGATGGGGGTGGGGGGAAGGACATTTTGCTCAGTATCTATTGAAAAAGGTCACACTAGTGAGCAGCCATGCAGAACAAATATAAAACTGGTGGTATACATGGTGCTGGCCTTATCTTTTCCACACTATCTCCCAGCTCTAATGGAAAAATTATACTGACACCATATGATTTGTTTCTAATTTTTGGAATTTTGTCAGAATGGGAGGTATCGGGGGGAAGGGAAACAGTTATTCTATACTGGTAGTGGTTGGGGAACAGTTATTCTATACTGGTAGTGGTTGGATGTACAATCAGTTGTTCCCCCTGAAATTGCTTATTGATTTCATTTATATAAAATGGCTCAACTACTGGGGGTTTAAAAGATATAATGTCTTAACATTTCAGACAGTTAAAATATATTTTTCATATCCTTTCAATCTTAATAATAATATTAAAATAAACAAAAGGAAAAAAAAATTGTCAATACAGTCTTTACTATTTTTGAGATTCATTTAGGGTCCTAAGTAAATGCTTTAAATACCCAGCACTAATATACACATCAAATCCTTGCCCAAAGAAGGATTCATGTAGCAAAAATCAAATTAAGTGACTTCCTCATTTTTACCTTTATCATATGATAATTTTAAAACTATGGTTGGAAGTCCTACAAATATTGTTACAAACAATACAGAAAAAACCACATCCACCAATCACTAATCCTTTGAGTTCAAAGGAGTCTCTTAGCCCCCTCGGCTTCCTCATTTGAAAATGGGAATGAGAATACTTATCCTGTTTATCTTATAGAGTTGTTAGGATCAAATGAGATAATAGTAGCTCAAATTTATATCATGCTTGGAGGTTTGCAAAGTGCTTGATATGCATCTCATTTGATCCATGTGAAAGTGCATTGAAAACTATAGCAGCCTATAGAAACACAAGGAATTATTGTTGTTGTTATTCTCTGGTATCTCTAGGCATCGAACTCTTACTGAATATTGGAAACTAGAACACCAAACAAATTCTTGGGGTAAAATACCACTCTGAACAAAACTTAGGGGAAGACTGGCGTATGCAAGTTAGTATTTGGCATTATAAGTCCATAGAGTGTTACCATTTAAGTAGTGGCTTCAGTCCACATGCTTCTTTCCTAACATTGTATAAAGGTTTGTTTGTTCAGAGGTCAGCTGCCTTGATCTCAACAGAGGAATTCCTTTTCGCTAGGCTTCTTAGGAGTTTCCATAAGATCAAACAGTTGCCATCTAAATACAGAAACTGTCATCATAGGGTAATTTCTACTTATTCTCTTTTTCTATTATATCTAACTTTTTTTTTTGAAGTTCCACAGGTCGATTAGTTCAGAAAAGGAAGTGAAAAAAAGTAAAAAGAAAAAGAAAATCTTTACCTGAGGAGCCTCTTGCTGACCCTGATCATTGCCTAAGGGGGTTGTAATAGAAATAACTGACTTCACTAGATTGGTCTTTTGAACACAAAGGAAGTTTATATTTTGCCTTGAGGAAAGAAAGTCAGAGGATTGAGAGCTATGCCTTCAAATTGTCAAGCTCCAAAACATTTTTAACCATGTGCCAGGCTGATTTTCATTGAGATAAGTGCGACTCACACACCCAAAACAAGTTCTGAGGGAGTAATAAGAGAGAGCCAAGGAAATTCCTCACTTTCTAACTCAAACACACTTCCATTAAGCATTTCCAAAACTATGATTAAAAGCCATATAACTGCTGGCAGTAACAGTTCAGACTAATCCACACATGTTTATACATAAAGCGATGATGTCTTCCACAGTATAGTTTAATTCTTGTTCCAGACTATGGAAGATTAATCTTCACTAAAACTTTATTTCTGTATTTCCTGGTGCTTGGTCATGGTGTGGGGGTGATCCGGTTCCTTAAAGTTCACAATAGAGTAAAGCCTAACCTTTAGTGGGCTCTTCCAAGATGGAAAGACTTTGACAGCAGGCCCAATGACAAATTATATATCCATTATCCAAGGACTGGCTTAAGTTTGGAGTGGTTCATCACCAGAAGTTTAGCCTTCAGTTCGTCATTAGGTAATGTGCACAGTGGATAGAGAGCTGTCTTCAGAATTAGGAAGTCCTGGGTTCAAATCTTGCCTCTGACCCAAACTTGCTGTGGGACTCTGGTCAAAGTCACTTAATGTCTCAGTGCTCAGGACAATTCTTTAATGAGACTATAAATTGCACATCAGGGGCTGATCTACATTGGTAGAGGGAGTTTCCTTCCTGAAGTTCCTTATACTGGTGAAATCACAGATCCAGTCCAAAAACAAACCCCCCCCCAAAAAAAAAACCAAACAGAAAACCCCAAACTCGTAAAACCACTGAAGGTATAAAAGGATGAAACTATTCACACTGCTGAAATGATAGATATTTCAAAATAATAATTAAAAAAAAAACCTCATAGGACCATTGACTGTATTTTAAAGCTGGAAAGGACCTTTATTAGTTTTAGCTAATTCAATCCCCTCATTTTACAAATGAGTAACCTAAGGCTTCCAAGAGATAAAGGAATTTGCATAAAGTCACCCAAGAAATAAGTGGTACATAATATATTTAAAACCAGTTCTTCTGAATTCAAATTTGGTCCTATTCTCCATTACACAAAACATGCAAAAATGGCGTTGGTGATATCATTTTATCTAAAGAGAAGGGAGTTATCCAGGAGTTAACAAATGTAGACTTCAGTGTCATTTCTTTTGATTTTCATTGCTAATTCTTCTCTCAAGTGGCTTTCTTAACTAATGGTGATCTTTAGCTTCCAAAGAAGCTTTGATGAGGAGGGATGTTTTTGATCCTACCCTTCCAGCTTCATCTGCCACAATTTTTCACCACTCTATGCACTAGCCTAACTAGACTACTTTCTATGGCCTGCAGTGGACCTATGCTTTCTGATCTCTGCACATTGGCCCAAACTATTCCCCATTCCTGGAATGCCTTCACCTTCTATCTCCTCCATCTTTGATTGTTGAAATCCAATTCATCTTTCCAGACACCCTGTAAAGGGAACATCTCCTAAAAATTCTTTCTTGATTTTTTTTTTTAGACTTTCAGGTCAGAAATTATCTTTTCTTACCTGGAAACATCATACCATTTTATTCCTATTTCCTTTATGTACTTTTCATTCTCTATTTTACACTCTACATATGTATGTCATATCATCACTACTAAATTATCAACTTCAAATGGGGGCAGGGATACATGCTTTATATCTCCTCCCCGGGAGGAGCTAGAGGAACACTGCCCAAAGCAGGTACTTAATTAAGAATGTTGAATTAAATGGACCCATAAATAATTGTTATATCAACCTAAGTAATCTCTGAGTCCATAAGCTAGTAAGTAAATCAAGCATCTTTTGGAGTTTCACTACCTCTTAGAGGAATTGATGCAGTAATTTATTAATTGGTAGGATAATGGCTCAAAATAAAAGTTAATGTCACTTTCAAATCTTTCTAGCTTACTCTTAGTGAGTCACACACACTGGGAAAATCAGATTTAAGAAACCTCATAGGAAAAGGTCTTTCTTTCATGAGGAATTGGGGTGGGCAAGAAAAGCTTACATTGATTTGCTTCACATTCCCATATTCCTTTTTATCCACATACCAGTGTTCCCTTATGATACAATGGAAAATAATGCTGGATTTAGAATCAGAGAGTCTGGGTCCAAACCCAACTCTGATACTTAGTATCTGCATAACCTTGGGCAAATCAGTTAAACTCAGTGGGGAGAAGGGGAGAACCTCTTTGCCCCATCTGAGTGTGTTACACTAGATGGCATCTGAAGTCCTTTCGAGCCCTAAATTAGTTATCTTGTGGTTTTTAATTTCCCCTTATCATATTTCCTCAATAATTTATACTCACCAGAAATATTGCACATGTCCCCAAACTTCCCTACAGACTCATACAGAATTTGCCTTTAAACACAATTCTAAATATACTTGGAACCACATGACTTTCCATGTGTGACCCACCAACCATTCCATCTTTCCCACTTCCTCATCGTTTTTCCCCTCCAACCCCACAAGGGGGCTCCATTCATTCCATTTCATAATACCTTGGTCAGCACATATGAAAGAGGGTCAATGGGGATGCAATAGAGGCAAAGAAGAAATGAGCAGAAACTACAGGGGCAGCCACTGACAAGAGCACCAAATCTAAGACAAGCCTTGAGGGGCTTTCAGAGAAAACAGATTGATAGGCAGGGGAATAAAGATAATAATGTAAAATCTAGGCTGTCATTTTACCAAGATGTCATGGTTCTTTACATAGGCTAACTTCTGCTTAACAGGTATTTGCAGAAACAGGATAAAAGATGTAATGCACAGGTGAACTTCTAAATGGAAAAGCTAATATTAACACATAGGAAGTTTGTTCCTCATGCTTTCACCTAATGACTCAAAAGGTGGCATGGCACAACGGATAACTATCCACTTTGGAATCAAGTAGACCTGGATTCAACTCATGCCTCAAACACTAATTAGTTGTATTACCCTCAGGCATGTAACTTAACCTCTCTGCACTGGTTTCCTCATTTGTAACACAAAGGGGCAGGCTTTGGTCTCTAAGGTCCATTCCAGCTCCAAAGCTATGGAATTATCATTCTTCTTCTTCTTCTTCTTCTTCTTCTTCTTCTTCTTCTTATTATTATTATTGATAAAGTATTATCTTTAATTGAAATTCAGTGATTCAGTCACCACTGAATTCTGGCATACAGTTCCTAAGTTGAGAAATAGATTTACTTACTGGAGGGGAATCATAAAGGCTGTGGTGCTTAGAATCCCAGTTTCCACCATCTCAATAGCCTGTTTCATTTCCAGCTTCTTATACAATGAAACAATGCTCGATTTGGGCTGGTTCTCTCGGATCAAAATTTTCCGTAAGTATTTATGGTCAAACTTCTTAAACCTGAAAATGAAAAACAACTTTTCAGAAGCCAGTGATGTAAATGTGTGTGTGTATATGTGCGTGTGTATATGTGTTTGTGTGTCTGTGTGTGTGTGAAAGAGAGAGAGAGACACACACACAGACACAGAGACAGAGAGCATCATCAGCATCACTTATCCCTACTTTTTAAAACACTGAGAAAAGACCTGGAATCATAGCTGTCTTAGCCTTTTAACAACAATCCCTTCCCATCCCCCCTAAAATGGTGCATTTTTAAATGAAGGAAAGAAAGAAGGAAATGATGGCCCACTGGCCTGCATATATTGGAAATCAACTAGACAAAGGGAAGGGACAAGCTGCAATCAGGGCAAAAAGTGGGAGTGAGTGGGGAATGGGGGAGGCGAAGCATAACTCAGCTCCAATTGTAAGAAAAGAAATGAGGGTGGGTTGAAGCTTTTGAACAAATGTTCCATTCTAATAGTACATAACAGCAGCAGCTGCACTTACAGTAATACTGGCCTATTCAGCCAGACACCAATAAGTTTAAATGGCCCGGTAGTTACAGTAGTTTTGCCCCATTATGTTGCAGATAATTTTGAATCCTGCCAATTAAGAAAAAAAACAAAACAAAACAAAAATCCCAAAAACATATGTCCTGACAATCTGAATGACAGAGAGATTGAATAGGCTGCACCCTGATTTGGTGCTGATTATAGCACCCCTTGCCCATTATAGACTGAACCTCACGTCAAGCATGTGGTCCAGTTTGCACTCCGGTATGTTTTAAGTGGTAGCTATCCTTCTGATAATTTTCTATTCAAAGGGCAGCTCATATGCCTCCTTTCTTTTCCAGAGGAGGGCCCAACTTTATGTGATTATGGGGTTACAGAATTAAAACTAGAAGGAACCTCAGATACCATCTGTTATCCCCTACCACCACTGTTTTAACCAATAAGGAAACCTAGACCCAGAAAGATTAAATGATTAGTTAAGGTCATACAGGCAATCAGAGACAGGATTTCAACCTAGATCCTCTGACTCCAGAACCACTCTTCTTGAAGATTTCTAATGCAGATGCATTACCCAATGAGGCAGCTCATTCTATCTCTGGAGCGTCTAATCATTAGGAAGTTTTCTTCTTGACATCAAGCTTAAATTTCCCTTTTTGCAGTTACTGCCTTTCCCTCCCATGTCCACTCTCTGGGACCAAACAAATTAATCACCCTAAATCAATTACTTATGAAAAAGGTTTTCATCCAGAAATCCCTAGGAGGCCTACCACAATCAACCCCAAAACATTACCCACCCAAAAGTTTAGAGTTTGCCATGCATGTGCCACCACCACACTATAGTTATTCATAGCTAAAGTTGTGGTCTCCCTCTTGGCATCCTGGGAGGGAGAGAGATCACAGGAAAGGCCTGAAAAGTTGACAAAGTGATTCACTCCATTCATTTGAGACTACATTTTGCTACAGCCACCACTAAATGGCTATTTTTTTAAACTCCGTAACTCTAAGTTTCATCCTGTCCTCTAGGAAATAATGTTTTGAAATGAGTATATTCAAATAAGGAGATCTGAAAATGGGATAGTGTGGAGAAGAGGGAATTTGAAACTATGCACCTCAGAGTTTATCTAGTCCAGCATTCCAGCCAATACAAAAATCTCCTCTACTGTCCCTAGCAGATGGGCAACTTGCTTCTAGTGCGTCACAGAACAACTGGTTGCATTGTTGGGACTTTTAATCAAAACTTCCTTACGTTTTCCCTTTCCCTTTCCCTTTCATTTTTTGGGGGGAGTCTGGATCCGTTATTTCCCCAGAGAACCTGAACAGCAAAACTCCTTCCATCATGAACATGCAACAACTTTATAACTTTTATTCTTAGCGGATGACCAAGGACATTGAAAGTTGAGTGACTGGCCCATAGTTACAGAGGTAGTTCTTGAAAACTGGTCTACCCAACTCTAAATACTTATCCATCTACTATACTATGTTTCCTTTTTTTCCCCCTCCTAGTTATGTTAAGTTAAAATCTGTTGGGATGTGGGGAGAAGGTGGTTTCCAATTCCTCTCTACCAGTTCATCCCACTAATCCCCTAGGATCATTTGCTGTTGACCAACAAGACACGATTAATGGACTGAACCATGTGAATTTCCTTGGGAGTACAAATGACTCAGAACTAGAATTCATGAGAAATTTCAAGAAATTTCTACTGCTTTACAATCTTATAGACTTTATCAAAGACAGGGTCTTTAAGTCAAGCATGTGCCCTTTAACACCAGTCCTAACGAAATAGACAAACATTCCTGAAAGGAAGATAAAATAAGATCATAAAGCAGGCAGGACCTCTTCTACACCCTTAACTGACATGAGGGCATGTGGGCTAACAGCTCAAAACACAATAATAAAGAAAATAGAAGCAGCCAGGAAAAACTGAGTGAGCCAAGGATGGAAATCATAGAAGTGTGTGGTAAGACTCTCTATATCTGTCCCCTAAAATGACCACAGAGCACATTTGGAGCTAATGATATTGAAGAGATTCTGCTCCCTTGGTTAAAGTCGATGTAGAAGAAGAAGAGAAAGAAGGAGAAAATAAGAGAGAGGAGGAAAAAGAGAGAGGAATAAAACCCTCTATTTTCAAAAAGAAAAAGAAGAAAGTAGAGTGTTAAAGTCAACTGTCTTGAACCCATGGAGAGAAAAAGATATTAGAGAAGGGTGTGTTCTGCTTCAGATTTCTTAGAAGGAAAAAGGAAAGCCTGCATGAGTGTGACCTATATTCTTCCCACTATCTTCTAGTCTAATCAGAGGCATATGACAAAGAGAGACACTTGTTTCCTTGTCCCAGGACTCCCAGGAAATGTATAATATTATCTGGTTGTTTTTCTTAGTTTGCTCCTCAGTACCCATTTGGGCCAGTACTGAGAAACTGCACCTTCCAATTTCAAATCAGGACAAAATTGATTAGACTATGTGGTCAGTCAGTCAATCAATCAACCCACAAGAATTTATTAAGCACCTACTATTCAAACCATTGTGCTAATGACTAATACAAAGACAAAAGAGAAAATAACCCATGCCTTTAAAGAAGCTTACATTTTAACAAGGGAGATGTATACATATAATATATATATTATATATATATATGACATATACAAGTTAAGAGAGGAAGAAGCATGGTGTAGTGAATAGAAGTCTGGCTTCAAAGCCCAAAAGACTTGCTGTTTGTTTATTTGTTTTTTGTCAAGTGTTAAACATTTAAATTATACTGATATATATACATTGTACACAAGAAGAAAAATCAGTTTGATGGACAAACTGTATATAGGAAACATAGTACAATAGAAAAGAGAAAAAAATCCCCAGTCTTTTCACACAAGGATGATAACAAGTGTAAACAGTATTTGGAATTGGTATGAAAGGATATGGATTCAAAATCCACCAAAATCCACTCTGGTAGCTGTGTGACTGGGCAAATCATTTCATCTCTCTGTGCCTTAGTTTTCTCACTGATAATATGATAGTGTTGAATGAGATGGCTTTTAAGGTTCTTTCTAGCTCTAAACCTATCAACTAGAAATAAAAATATAAACTAAGGTGTGGATTTTGATGTGTCCTCTTCTTAGTATGACTCAATCAGTAACATCTGATTCTGTTCTATTCTAACAGGAATGGGTCCCAGAAGTGTAGAGACAGTATGATATAGAGTATGGCAAGTTGATTTCAGGGCCAGGAAAAACAGGCTTTAAGTCCTGTGTGTGATGCACACTGGCTGTGTGACCCTAGTCTAAGCAACTTTTTAAGAAGTTAAGTTGCAGAGAACGTGCTGACCAATGGAGGTGAAGGGAGTTTCCTCCCTTGGGAGTCCCTATAGTAATAAAATCACAGCTTCAATCCCTATCTCTATACAGATCGAATACAAGATAATCTTGGAGGAGAAGATACTAGCCACTAAAGGGATCAGGAAAAGTTTCATTTACAAAGTGGCACTCAAGTTAATTTTAGGGGGGCAAGGTAATCAGGATTAAGTGACTTGCCCAGGGTCACACAGCTAGTGTCAAGTGTCTGAGGTCAAATTTGAACTCAGGTCCTCCTGACTCCAGGGCCCTGCTCTATCCACTACCCCATCTACCTGCCCCTCAAGTTAAATCTTTAAAGACAACAGGGATTTCAGAAGGCAGAGGGATAGAGAAAGAGCATTTCCGGCATGGGGGCAGAGTGCAAAGATCTGTAAAGGGGAGATAGAGTGTCATGTGTGAGTCATAGAAAGACCAATGTGGCTCGACTATAGAGGCTGGAAAAGAGTATACCACTAGGTCTGGATTAGTTTGTGAATAACAAATCCAGTAAAATTAGTTTCATTATTCAAATTCTCACTACATATTTCCACTGGGATAGAACCAATTGCTACATTTTGTATACTTTAAATCATGTGAACTGGAAAGCTGGGAATAGACCAGGTTGTGAAGGGCATTAAATGTCAAACAGAAGAGTTTATATTAGATCCCAGACATAATAGAGAGCCACTGGAATTTATTGAGTTGGAGGGAGGGTCACATGATCAGATGCACACTTCAGAAAAATCAATTTGGCAATTGTGTAGAGGAAGGACTGGAAAGGCTAGAAAGCTGAAATAAGATCAAATGGAAAGCTAATGCAATAGTCCCAGCAAGAGGCGATGAGGATCTAAACTGGAATAGCACCTGTGTGACTGCAGAGAGGGCACGTGCCAGAGACGTCATGTGGAGATAGAAGCAACAACAATTGGCCACTGGTTGAATATGTGGGATGATTGAGGAGGTGATACCAAGGATGATATCAAGGTTTTAAACCTGGGTGACTGAAAGGATAGTGATCTCCTTAACAATAACAGGGAAGTCCAGGAGAGGGATGTGTTCCTTAGGAAAGCTGCTAATTAATTACTACATCAGTGTCATTCAGCCTCCCAAACATGCCTGATTTCCTTGCCATTTTATGTCCTGGGAGATCACATATATTAGCATAATACATTATTAGGAATATTATAAATTTGCTTTGAACATATTGAGCTTGAGATGTCTATGGGACATGTAGTTTGAATTATCTGATCGATGATCCAGGACTGAAGTTCAAAGAGAATGACTAGGGTTGGATATATAGAATTGGGAGGTCACCTACATAGAGAGGAATATGTGATTTTTGGCTAGGGGAAGGGGGGGGAGTATATAGAGACGAGAGGAAATTTGAGAAGATCCTGGCCTAGCTTTGAACTAAGAACTTAACTCCCCAATTCTCTTAACCTATAGAGAATCCTCTTGACTTGGATCTGTTGTTCTAATGAAAGCTTGTACAGACAATTCAATAATAAGCAGGAAATTAAGGAGACCTGGTATATCTCCATGTTTCAGGGCACTGGAACAGATCATTTTACAGATTTCTAAAGGATATTACCTCCTTTTGACTTTCATGCAGTGGCCTTACTTCTGCCCATTGGAATGGGAGCTCCTTGAGGGCAGGGACTTTCTTTATACCCACAGTGCTTAAAACAGTTTGTGGAACATGGTAAGTGCCCGTTGTTTTTTGACTGGATTGTTGACTGACTGGAGCAACACAGTCTCTCTTCCTTCCATCAACTTTTCAAACATTTAGAAAATGACCACCATATATCCCTATAGTTTTTTCCTGCTAAAAAATTCATAGTCTCTTTGACCATTTCCTATACAAGATAATTTTTCACATTTCCTGCTTACTTCCCCCAGATATTCTTTATTTTTAAGTCTACACGTCTTTCTAACAATCTCTTCATTAGGATGTTTTCTTTCCCGGGTATCATCTGCCCACAAAATGCCCAGGTTCCTTACTTGTCTCTCACTTGGTAGTGGCTCCACTGTCCACATACATCTTCAATTCCAGCTTTCAAATGGTCCATTAGCTACCAAAATTGAACAGAAGGACAAGATAGTCTGTGAGATGTTAATTCTGACAAATACAGAAACAAAGGTCATGCATGGAGAAAGTTAGGTGCCTGGCAGAATGGGCCTTTAATATCCTGGAACTCTCAGCATGCTCACCTATCTTTCTAAGTATTTTATCTCCATAACACCTGGCATTGTCTTATCGCTTAGTTTCATGGATTTAGAGACTATACATTAATTTTCTGATAATCAGAATTTTTAACAACAACAAATACAGGTTTTCTGTAAAATGCTTTGTATAGTAACCCAGTTGAAATCTCACTGGAAATAGTTAAGAAGTATCCAGTTAATGAAACCTAATTTATACACATCCTAATAATTAATAGCAATCTCTGATCTCTCTAAAAAGAAAGAACAAAAACCACCATTTAGCTTGTTTCTTCTATAGTAAGTAGAGTCAACTATGTGATATAATGGTTAGTGTTCTGAACAAGGAGTCTGGAAGACCTGATTTCAAATCTTGCCTCTTTTACTTGCTAGCTCTACGACGCTGGACAAGTTGCTTAAATGCCTTCAGCCTTAGCTTGCTAATCTGAAAAATGGGGATGATAATAACTCACAGCTTAAGAGGATTGTTATGAGGAACAAATGAGAAAATACATAGAAAGTGCTTTGCAAACCTTAAAGTTCTGTATAAACATTAGGTGTTATAACTACCACAATAGTGCAAATACTATTGCAGGCAATATTAAAATTCTGTCCACAGCTACTTTTGTTCTATCATTAGGCCTGTAATACATCGCATGTTCATCTAAAGCTGTTTAGGGAAAACAAAATGGGAAGTCGGACCTGTGATTTCACTGTAATAGCAAGGAAGGAAATATTTATTAGCAATAAAAATAAATGATATCTCTGAAATTTAGTCTTAAAGTATGCTTGGGCCACTAAGGAGGGAAATGAATTGCCCAGGGTCACCTGGACAATGAGGCAGAGGCAGAAATTTAAAACCCAGGTGTTCCTGACCTCAAAGCCAGCTCTCTATCCAACATGCTACAGGACCTCTCTTTTAGGAATTTAACAAGAGTACATTAGTCTGAAGGAAATAACAGATTGGTCTCCAAATGGATTTAAGGCAGGAAACTTCAGAGTGTTAGCTTCTGACCTTTTCACTAAATAAAATTACAGAATGAATTTAGACCTAAATACTGCATCAGTTCACTGACTTCTGCCATGAGCTAATTGTTCTCTCTCAGAGAAAAAAAAAAGGACAAAAATTTAATATCCTTTGATTTCTTGTAACAAATAATGCTTCTCAATTGCACCTCTCCTTCACTAGATATTGTCACATTTCCATCAGTTTCTAAACGTTTGGATCGGGATTTTTTTTGAGTTTCTGCTGCTCTGATCTCTGTCTCTGTCTGTCTCAGTCTTTGTCTCTCTCTCTCTCTCTGTCTCTTTCCACAAAAATATTTCCAGTCTTTCACCAAAATCCTATTGTATCTCAGGTTCTCAAAGGCCATCCTGATGCAGCACAAACTATGACTGGTTTTACCAAGCTTAAAAGGCTTAAAATACGGGCCTGATGATGGAGTGTGTTGTTGTCTGAGGATTAGCCCAGGATGATGGCCAGGGCAGCCTAAGTATATCTAAGTACAGCGATGTTTATCACAAGATGGTCAGATACTAGGTCATAAAATTTTTTGTCCATAACAATTATGAAATGCTAAGATGAGGCAGCAACTTACTTTGGTGGAGAGTATGCCCACATCATTGAAACCACTGACTTTTTAAAGTAAAAAGTTCCTAATGCTAGAGAGGAACCTTAAAAAAAAAAAAAGGGCTTTGGTCAAGCTGATTTTCACTTTTGAGCAGGCCAGTATGACTTTCAAACCACTACCACCATCTTTTCTCATATTCCAGTGGAGGCTGCCCAGAATCTTGTGCTCAAAAGCCATGGAAATAGCAACTCCCTTCAGGCCACTGGCTGTACTTCTGGACCCAACCTCTATAACCATCACTAAGGAGCAAAACTCTTACCATTCCTGCTTCCACTGATACCACCATTACGAGCCAGATATCAATTACCACCAATGGGTGGCAGCTCATATAGACCAAGAGCAAGAATGTGATGTGACCTGGCAATTGCCAATACAGGTGATATAGTCCCCACCTCCTCAGCAGCTGTAGCAACTGAAGACCTTTAACAGGAAGTTTTCACCTTGGTAATGTCAAATGGTTCACCATTAGAAACTGATATGATCTTAATGTAAATGACATTCAACAAGATATATTAAATTTGTCTGCCTTGCTACCCTCTAAGGAGTACTGGTTGTTACCATCAGACTTCTGGCCAAATCCTCTGTGTATTGTCTCCCTCTCCTTGAGAGCAGGGACAGTCTTACTTCTTGATCTGTGTCCCTGGCACTTAGTGCTTTGCATATAGTAATTGCTTAATAAATGATTTCTCATTCATTCAACAAGGCTGAATGAATTTGCAAAGAGCAGTTATTCTGAGTAAGAGATCACAAGGTCAATGACTGATTGACCTGAGGTCTGAAGTCCAACTTTCTTAGTCATTCTGGCCCAGTATTCAAATGACAACTGCATGACATATGATAGCCTCCCACTCCTACCACAGGTTAATGAAATTAATCTGTTGGAGAAGGTTTTGTGGTTTCTATTGAATCATTTCTCTAATTTTCTTTCTTAGTTAAATAGACAGCTTACACGGGTATGAAGCTCTTCATTGATGGATTCCTTTTTGTTGGTCTTTTTCACATCTAGGTATCTGACCAAAGGGCCAATGGTCATTCCCTGGATTGGAAAGAACAGCAATTTTTTTTCACTTTATTATTCCTATTTAAAACTCAGAGATGAAAATTAGAAGGTAAATGAGATCATACAATTTAGAGTGGAAAAGGACATTAGACATAATCTAATCTGATCTCCTTTTACAGACAAAGAAACTGAGGCACAGAGAGATGAAGTGAAAATTTCAAGGTCACATTACCAATAAGTGGCAGCATTGGGACCGAGCCTAAGTTATCTGTAATGACTTCACTAACAGCCCCACTCCCAGCTGTGTTAAATGAAGAAGCCCCAGGGAAGCTCAAAGCACCTGAATAACCCTGTCAAATTAAGGTCAGCAATAATGGACAAAAGTCCTCTTCCCTTTTCCTTTTTTATGAACTGGCTGCAGTCTTCCAATTCCCTTCCTCCCCCACCCTCCCAGCATGAATCAGCACCTGTTTCCAGCTCCAGGCTTCGTATTCCATTCCCCCAACACTCTAAGGACTCTATAAAACCCCATGAGACTTTACAGTTTTGACATGCCCCATTCCATCCGAGACCCCAGAAAGGTATTCAATTCTACCTGGATCCTAGTAGACCTGACTTGTATCCACCATTCTTCCTGTTTGTCCTTCGTGTTACAAGTGTGTCCCACCAATAAATCTGGCTTGTTTTTTTTTTTTTCTTACTGGAATGCTTCATGCTTCCTTGCACTAAACTACTGTTATTCCAAATCTTCTGAAACTTATATGATGCTTCCTAAAATCAGTGGTATTTCTACTTCACAAAATCTATGAACTTACTTGATACCCTAATTTTCTTAGACTAAAATCTCAACTGGAAAACTGTTCCCACATTATAAAATACAAGAAGGACAGAGAAGGACTGAAGAGGTCATTTGAGTTCAATCCTTCCTTTTATAGGTGAGGAAATTAAGACCTCAGAGAAGGAAAGTCTCAGGGTCTGAAAAATATTTAGTAGCAAAACCAGAACTAGAATTTGGAACTTCAGTGTCCCTACTGAGCTAATTATCTGGTTATTATTATTTATTATGATACTTTATTATAAACAAGCCTTTTGTTATTATTAAATATCATAATTAATCATTCTTTTATTATAGTTAATGATATTGTTTTACATATTATTAGAATTAATAATAACAACAAAATAATTAACTAGTACACTCAATGGGGAATCAAGATTACAAAATTCTACTCTTGCTTCTACCATTAATTACTTTTAATAATAATATAATGCAATCTGAGCAAGGTAACTAATTTTTTAACTTTTTTTATTTTATAAAGAAGGAATAAAATTTTTAATTAATTTTGAATTAATTCTATAAAGATTAATTCTAAGTGAAACATGAACTAGCAAGGTACTGGCAACTCTACTTTCTAGTATTAACTGGGGTCTTAATATTAGAGAGGTCAGGTGGAAGCCACTGTGATCCTCTAGTTGTTAGTACTCTCTCCCTTCTCAAGTTATTTTATATTTATATATTCTACACAGCTCTCCATGGTTGCACTGAAGATGTCGACCTGCTTTGATAGAGGGAATTTCCTCACCTGGAAATTCCTCATACCAGTGAAATCACAGGCCCAGCTCCTATCCCTATCCATGGTTGTGTCCATGTTATGTGTCCCCTCTCATTAGGATATAAGCACCTTATGGGAAGGTGCTCTTTGTAGTCACAATGCCTTAGACATAGTACAAGCTTGATAAATTTGTTGAATTTGAATTTGCATACAGTGGGGCTTGCTTAATATAAATTAAAGCTGCAATACAGTTAAAAGTTGACTTAAGCCAAGACTTTTCAGGAGAATTTGAAGCCTCTGTTCTAATCTTGCATTCCCTTGAGTTATTAAAGCCAAATGCTAAAAATTAAGTAGTGGTTTTTAAAACTTATTCTCTACATATTGAGGGGAGGACAGGAGGAATGTTGGAAATATGATAAGTTATTTTCTTTATTCAAAAGAAACTCACCAACCTGAATGAATACAGTAAAATATATAATAACAAGAGTGGCTGTCACAAACATTTTCTTCCTAGGGAACAAAGACAAGGGCAGCAAAAATGCAAGTGAAAAACTCCCAGCTCCTCTAAGCCCACTGTAGAAGATAATACACTGGTCCTTGATGGTGAAGGGAAAAGTCCGAAACTGGTTACTGACATAGAAGAGAGCAAATACACCTACAAAGGGAAAAGAAAATGTTAGAGAATCCAATCTAATCCCATCTAGTAAACATTTATTAAGGTCCTACAAGGTGTCAGGCACTGTGTTAAGTGTTGAGCATACAATTAATAAAAGAAAGATAATCCCAGCCCTCAAGGAGCTTGCAATCTAAAAGGGGAGACAATACACAAAGGGAGGCAGAGAAAAGATTCATAGCAATATAGGAATCAAGGTCCAACGAATGTGGCTGTAACACTTGGACTTTTCTACACAGACTAATCAAATTCAATGTTTAAATAAGAGAGTGTCTCTATTTAGTCAAACAGATAAGTTCCAGGAGTTGGGGCAGGCGGGTTTTGGTCTACGACAAGCAAAGAAAACCAATGTCACTGAGCAATTCTCTTTGCATTCAGCTGCTCCGGCACCATATTTAGAGCTGAACTAACCATTGTTCAGTGTGAATCCTGCCTTTTAGAAGATCCAAAACCTTCTATGCCAGAGAGTGTTCCTTGATTCAAATGTATTCATCATTTAACAAAAACTTTTTAAGCATCTTCTAGAAGCAGGACATTGTGATACGCACAGCGTATAGACCCCCAAGAAGCAATATGGTCTAGTAGATAGGATGATCTGACACATACCAGCTGGGTAACCATATCACTTAACTTCTCTGGGCCCCAGACAACTGCTTAAAACTATGAGATTCAGTTGAGTTTCCTACAGAAATGAAATCACAGGTTGTACCTTCCTTCGTCTTCCCTCCTCCCACCCCCAAAAATAAGAGTGCATGAAAAATCCAAGTTTCCAAATTGGCAGCAAGATGTGGGACACTTTTTTAAAAGGTCTTCTTAATGTAATATAATGTATAATACAGAATTAATATGTACTATTTCTATATAGCTATATAAAAATTAATATAATAATATGCTCATAATATATTTATGAATATTTTAGAAGAGGATCATATGATCATAGATTTACAATTGGAAGGGACCTTACAGGCCAACTAGTCCAACCTCTTAATTTTATAGATGAGGAAACTGAGGCCAGCAAGGTCAAGTGATTGTCCAAACTCTTACAGTCTGCTTCAGAGACAGTTTTTGAAGGTAGACTTTCTGATTGAAGAGCCAAAGCTCCTTTCCTTTTAATACCCAGCCAGGAAAGACTTTTAGTTTCATGTTTTTGTTATTGTAGAAAAAAAATCTATACATACTTTTAAACCCATAATTCATGAATATTGCTTTTTAAAAAATTGTCTATTCTGACCACCAAGACAAAAATGTAACCAGCCAGAATGGATGCCTAGGAGCCATAATCTCACCAAGCAATCAAGATGATAGACCATATGGAAGTCTTTCTTGCAGAGGCAACAGGAGAGATAGGCCTAATTAGCAGAAGATGGCAGCCCTCTAGAAGTATTTATCAAAAAGACATCTGGGAAATATATTCCAGGAATGGAGGGTATGTTTTAGCAGAAACTAGGGCAACATATTTCCTGTTTATGACAGGGCAAATAGAAAAATCCTAAATAGGGATGATACCATGAGGCATACAAAACTACTAGGGACATCCAACTATTGGAGAACGGAACAAGCATGAAACATAGAGTCAAAGTTAAACAATCCAGAGAGGGGCAAAATGCTTGTGTAGCTAAAGCTGACAAGTGGAACCGCTCAGCTGACTCATAATGACCTCTGTGCTTAATGTTCAATCAGTCCCATTACTTTTGTGAGGACCTGGAGATTAAATGTCAAAAATGTTTTTATCTTCTATGATAATAATGAGTTCACTTTATGGAGATCCATCCTTAATACCTGCTGGCCTTTTCAGTGCCTGAAAAACTTTATATCTTTCATTCAATTACCACTATTCTAATCCTGCATGGAGGTGATGCCTATGAAGATAAATCAGGACCTCCATGAAAGGTGGGGATTGTGTAAGGTCAATCAATAGAGCCTAAGGATCACCAGGAACAAAGTTAAGCTGGTATCTTCAGAAGGGAGTGTTAAGCATTGTTTGTCCAATTTTTTTCCGGTGGAAAATTGGTCCTACGAGTATCTGGATCTGTCTGAAGATGTCAGACTCTCTTTGATTTTACCAGAGCTGCAATAGCCTGTGGTGCTAAATGGTACAATGTATAGAGTGCTGGGCTTGAACTCAGGAAGACATCTTCCTGAGTTCAAATCAGGTATCAGACACTTACTAGCTGTGTGACACTGGGCAAGTCACTTAACCCCGTTTGCCTCGGTTTCTCATCTGTAAAATGAACTGGAGAAGAAAATGGCAAACATCTGTAGTATCTTTGCCAAGAAAACCCCAGATGGGCTCATGAAGAGTAGGAAATCACTGAACAACAATGACCTGTGCCTATAAAAGCACGGGGCTGTCTAAGAAGACTTTTTCCCCCCACCAAATTAAATTATAGTCCACAAAGCTACTAGTAGCCTCAGGATCCATGAGGGTCTAACCCCAGAGGATCCAGTTATTTGTGCTTTCCAGTACCACAGGCAAGGAGCTAAACGGCCAGCCATGCCCCTGCTAGTGGAGGCCAGGGATGTGAAGCTCTTCATTGATGGATGGAGCAACCTCCCTTCTTTGGGAATCCTTTTATAACTTCCTTTCTTGCATCTTAGAAACTGGTGGCTAGGCGACTTGCAATCAAATTCCGGGGCTGACCACAATAAAGGACAAGGTTATCAGTAAAAAAATCAAGAACAATCTGTTAAGAGTCAATTGTGGCTGCCCTCTTCCCTTCCTATATGGATTCCTTGATAGTCAGAACTGCTCCTTATAATCTAAGTAGAATAGTTGCTTGCTCCCAGGTCTAGACTACAGATCCTTTTTGCTATATGGAGGCAAGGAAGGTGATGGTTGGCTATATTCAAGCAGCTCCATCCTTGAACAAATCAAACAACCCTCTACAAGTTGACAATGACCACTGCTTCATTCTAGGGAAATCATGGGATAATAAATTTAAGGCTGGAAGGGACCTTAGAATACTATTAAGTCTAATCACCTAGCTTTACAGATATGTTAACTGATACTCAGAGAAGGTGTTACTTGGATCAGCATTCCACAGCTGGTAGGTATCTAAGGCAGGATTTGAACCCAGGTCTTCCTGACATTGCGCCTTGCTTCCACTCCAAGGCCTTAGATGGACACGCAGAAGATATAAATAGTAATTATATCTCTTTCAGCCAGCAACCCTGACAGTTTTCCCCTCCCAGTCTGATTTTTCTTTATTAAAGGGGCCATCCCTTAACTCACTTCTTTAACAAGCCTAATCACCCAAAGGACATTGCCTCACTCAAAGTGAGAACTTGGAAGACTTTAGCTTAAAAAGGCCAAAGTCTCCCACTGTATCCTGGGACATCTCCAGTTGTCCTGATCTATATCTGTGACTGGACCCAGATGGCTTTGGAGGAGAAAGTGAGACTGGGGACTTTGCACAGCCCTCCCTCACTTAAATCCAATTTAACTGCAAGTCATGGCATCATTTTCCTGATGTCATGGTCCTCTTTGAGAATGAAGGACAGATCACACAACACCTTCAATAGATGACAAATTTCTGGTTCTATTGAAAGTTTCCTGTTTTGCTAGTTCACAGTTTTAGCCTGCAGTAGATCATCAAAATCCTCAAAGTAAGCCAGTAGCAAGCTGTTTTCATTAACATATGGTGGAAAATTCCTACTCTTATGCTTTACCATGTCATGGATGTGGTTAGGTTCTCAAAGTCTATTCTAGAAGAGCACAAACTCTGGCAAATAATACTAATCTGTCTCTTTCTTTCTCATATATGTGTGTGTGTGTATGTATATAGGTATGTGTGTGTGTGTGTAAGCAACAAATAACATTTACATACATAACATACCCACACACACATCCATAAGGAAGTGACCCAAGTTAACAGCTTTGTATCCATCAACTTCTAGTATCTCTGGGCACTGGAAGCCCCAAAGCTAACTTCCTTATTAGATTATTAAGCACTGGAATTTAGGGTCTCCAAACCAGAAGAGCTGGTTTAGAAGTTAGCAAGAGGAATGTGACATTGTTACCCCATAGGATTATAATCTTTGCCTTGGAAAAAATCACTGAAGGCAGTGAAAGGAGTATAAAGGTAGAGAGGGGTGGGGTGGGAGCAAGGAGTCTTTCTGAATCCTGAAGGCAGCTCTCTGGTGCTGATAGTGTTCCCAGGGATATGAGGGAGCTGTTTATACACTTTCTGCAGCTGCAGTCTTTGGGTCTGGGGGCTTTCAGATCCTGGTGGGGTTCTTTTCATCCTCTTCTCTTTCCTTCATGGGTTTTGGGATAAGACTGCTTCATATATTCCCAGATTCTTGGTGGGACTCTTTTTCCTAAAGAAAGATATTCTTAAAGAGTGTATTTAATTGCCCTGCCAAGATTCTATCTTTTTTCAGCTCTGGATCAAAGCTGAAAAGGCCTTCTTGAGCTTTGAGGGTAAAGAATTGCAAACCACAACTCCCAATCTAAGGGCGGAAAATGCATTAGGATGTACAAAAGAACACTGATCTCTGAGTCAAGGATTCTAGGTCTAGGTTTGCCACTGACCAGTTCTGTTACCTTGGCTTGTTCTCTGAGCCCGATTTCTACAACTGTAAAATAAGTATCTATATAAAAACATTGAACTGGATGATTTCTAAGGTTCTTTCTTGCTCAGAAATTCCATGTATATCCTATTTGCGAAAATATAACCCCCTTCCTTTTCCTTTCCATATGCACAAGTATGGGCAGCTGGTTGGAAAAGTGGATGGAGCACTGGGCTTAAAATCAAGAAGATTCATCTTCATGAGTTCAAATCCAGACTCAGACACTTACTAGCTATGTGATTCTGAGCAAGTCATTTAACCCTCTTTTGACTCACTTCCTCATCAGTAAAATAAGCTGAAGAAGGAAATGGCAAACCACTCCAGTATCTTTGCCAAGAAAACGCCAAATAGGGTCAATGAAGAGTCAGACATAATGGAAATGACCCAACAACAACAAACAGGAACAAAAT